CGGTAACCAAGTCAAGGGAAAAAAAACTTCAAAGTTACAGCAATTTCCTTGAAATTAATGGAACTGCCCATAGGTTCTCTGATCTGTCCTGGTTTTCTCAGAGCTTCCCTTAAGTTCTCAAAATTCTCCTGATGTTCTTCGGACGGCACAGATATAAATGGAAGTGTCCTGAAAACCTTTAAACTCCCCTGAAGTTCTCTGGACTTTAGTGTAGTTTTCGAAAGATTAAAGTTCATTGGTCATTCCTGAAATTCCCGAATCTTTTTATGAGTTCTCGAAATTTTGCAGTAGCTAATGGTCCAGGCTTGAATTTACTGGAACTCACTCTTACTGATGCGGACTTTCATAAAGTCTTTGGTACTTCTCTGAAATCATTGGAACCTTTTTATGATCTCTGTAAACCTCTTAAGGTCATAGCGGAAGCGAACCAGCATCAGCATAATAAAGAAAACTTAACTTAACTCCTAAGGTCTCTTGACCTACGTTCTCTGAGCTATTTGGTACTTCTTTGAAGATTCAACAGTTTTCCTTAGTTCTCTGTACTTCTCTAAAACATTTGTTTCTATCTAGTTCATTTATTTGGAAGGCTCAATCGCGTTAGCTTTACGGAGCCGGTAATTCAATGTTCATTGTTTTTTTTTAACAAAATTCACTTATTTCTATGTCTAGTAGGAGTTGAGCCGAATACTCGCGGCTTACCCAAGGTTAGAGGGGTACATTGTCCTAGGATGGGATTAGGAGAGGAGCTTGAGATGGGGTTTCGTTGTCTCATCAGAGCGTTGTCGCTAGTATGAACGGTAGTTCGGTTCTGGATTTGTCTGGATTTCGATCGGCTATGGTGACCAGTAGATGACCATGAGACTCATCGCGACGGGGGGACAAAACAAATAAAAACTATTAAAAAGAGACAAAATACTAAAGAATTCAATTGTAATGCTGGACATTTGAAGAAACACATAAATCGACACGTCTGTAATAGGGATATGGGGTTGTCTTCCATGGCCATATTTCTACAAAATTATCAGGATATCCCAGAAGTTCATAAAACTGAAGTTCCTGTAGTTTTCCTGAAGCTAATGAACCACCTTGAGACTCATGTAAACTTCCCAAAATATTCCAAAAGTTTTCGGAACATCTCTTTTTTTTCCCGTAGTTTGTTTATGAAACTTCCGCGAAATTCTCGGCATTTCCTTTCATACCTATGAACTTCTTTAAGTTTCTAAAATTTTTGCGAAGTAAATGGGACTACCCTAAAGATCTCTCCTTCATCTTTCCAGATATTCACGGAACTTCCCAGAAGTACGCTCTATTCTCGTGATCATGTTCTTGGAATTGTCCTGAAACGTTTGGAACTACCCTAAAGATATCTAAACATCCCTGCAGTTCCGAGGCTTCTGTGAATCTCTTCTATGAAGTTTCCGAAAATTTGTTAAGTATACTTAACTTCTCTGACGTTCTTTGAACTATCGTTAAATTTTTGGAACTTATTGAAGGTTTTCGCTGTTCTCCTGAAATTAAGGGAACTGTTCAAAAGTACTCGAAATTAACTTGAACTGCCTTAAAGGTCGGTGGTCTTTGCCACCGAGATGTTATACCTCAGAACATCCCGGCGGCGCCGACTGGGATTGAACCCAGGCCAGCTGGGGTGAGAGGTAATCACGCTTACCACTACACCACTGACGCCGCTGTATCTTTCTGATGTTACTCGTGACAAACTGGCTATTCAAAGGTTCCAGAATGTTTCCAGGGTGATGGTTTGGGGATGTTTCTCCAAAACTTTGAAGGTTCCGTTGCTGTTCATTGAATCTGGTGTTAAAATCAACAGCAAATATTACATCGATTTTTTTGAAGAACCATTTGCTTTTTTTCGTTAAAGAAACACTACAAGAATGCACCATACTGCTTCCAACAAGACTCTGCCCCAGGCCACCAAGCAAAAGCTACACAGGCTTGGTGTGAGGTCAATATTTAGTCGAAAGAGTTGCCTGCCTCTTCATCCGATTTGAATCCTTCCGACTTCTATGCATGGAGCTACATGCTAGACAAACTTGAACTTTATGGAACTTGAAAGTTCTGTCGGAACTTTATTTGAACTTTATGGAACTTGAAAGTTCTGTCGGAACTTTATTTGAACTTTATGGATCTTGGAAGTGATTTTAATCGTTGAATGCGGAACTTTTGATTACTTGGGTATTCACTATCACTTTAAAAAAAAAGCTTTAACAGATTCTTATTTCGTTTACTACTTGCAAAGTTCTTCAATGTCTAGTCATAGGCTTAACATGGTATATGACTAGACACTGAAGAAGTTACTACTTACAAACTAACGAAGCGAAATACGTATCTTTTATATTTTTTTTTAATGATAGTGAAAGTAAATAGTGAAAAGTGAATTAGTAAAAGTGAAAGTGAAACAATACTAGTAGAATTAAAAGGAAAAACAACGTAATAAGGTATACATAAAAGTTTTGATCTGCAATATGAGAAGGTTTGTTAGATTTGAATCAACAGTAAATTTGGGTTTAGGCGGTTCATGTTAGTTTTCATGATACTCATTAAAATTCAATCATTAGCCAACTTTTCGAACGATCTAATTTAAAATTATTTTTCATTAAAGTCGGAGTCGAAGTCCATATTTTTTTTTCGACTCCGACTTCGACTCTACAGCCCTGGATTCCATAAATCATTTACATATTAATTAATTTGAAGTTGTCCTTTCAACTTACTACTGTCCGGAACCACTGAGTGCTATATCACTTAAGTAGTACAGCAGCTATCGTTATAAGCAAAAATATATCTGTTTTGGGAAGTGGCCCGAATCCATCGTGCAGTGGATCTATGCCGAAGGATGGCAATCCCAACAACGTGTGATAACTTGGGATTCCAAATAAAAGATTCCAGAAAACTAATCCATCATCCAGTTTATCCGGGTCAGTAATATTCAAGCTTAATACCACGGAAAATAAGTATTTACTGGCATTATATTTATCATGAACTGAAAATATCTGTACAATGTCACAAACTAAATACGATACAACACTTATGATGGTTCAAGCCCAACTGCCTTATCAGATTTTCAGCACATAAGTATACAGTGCTACACCGCAGGTCAAAACATTCAGTCCATATGTAGTAAGTGAGGGATGCTAATTATCTCATTCGTATAATAATTGCAGATAATCTGATGCACTTATGCGTATAACGGCACTGTAGTAGCTCAAAATGTTTCCTCGGTAAATTGAAATCAAATATTGTATTCTCCTGACAAACATCTACCTCGATTACAACCAATTCATTCAGATTCTGAGAAAAATGTAAAGCTGAAAAATTATCGTAACAGTGCCAGATTTGATTAAAAGTTTTGTAATCGACCGGAAGCTGAACCCCGAAACCTAGTCCATTGCATAACGAACCCATGGCTCTTTGGCATGCATTCCTGTCACGGTGGTGCGATCCGTGTGGCTCCCATTCACAAGTCTTAAATTATTACCGATAAGCTTCGTTATGAATGTCTACCACTAGTTTGTTTCACAATGCAAGGGAAAGTCGCCCTATCGGATAGCAGCACCGGGGAAGCGGTGGCGACGACGGCGATGGCGCGGAATGACACAAACACGTACGCCGAACGTGTACCGGTCCATATCTTGACTTACTGATATGTGTTATGCAACCTGGACCAGCAGCATCCAACACACACCCTGCGCGATGATGAAGCATGGTATGCAAGCAAGCACACAGTCAGTCGAGTCGACACGCAGTTAAATCACTCCGTAGGTTCCCTGCCATTGATCTCAGCCCTCAAGCCAACCGTGGACCAAGGGATGCTGCGTTGCATCGACGCGCTTGTTAGCTGAAGACGATACACACAGGTGAAGGTGCCTTTGTGTTGTAAAGCCGCTCGGTAGGGTCCATCTATCCATTAGGCGAGCCCAAAGTCTTGTGAAACCGTTGATTGTGAACCTCTCCGGTACAGAGATACAGTCAAGTTTATTCATCTTCCACATCGTGGTTGACCATATAAATTGATTGATGGACGCACGCTTGTCGAGGACATCTTCTTTTTTCGTGAACCATTCAAGCGACGTCCCCAAGACGAGGAACGTGTGAAATTGTGAAACAACTTCTCGCACGGTTATGACTATGTTTACGTTTAACAAATCAATGAAAATGAAGCTGCTGATGGTGGTGGTCGAATCCGAGGCCGGTGCACAAATCTGATAATCAAACACCAAGTGGATGAAACGATGATGGACAAACGATGTGTGTCCCCCAAATACGGCAACGAGGGGACAAGTGATTTCGTAATTGCTCGCCCTGCCATCCAACGATGCGAAGTAGGACTCGAAAACGATTGATTCTTGAATGGAATTCCATCGAGAGTGGAATGCTGTGAGGTAAAAAAATCAGTCAGCATCTGCACAACACAAGTGGATTGAAGTGAAGATTTTCTCACCCTGCGTACACAGGAAAAGACAGCCCATGATAAATCGTGTAGGCCTGTGTGTGATTCGGACGATTCGTATATAATTGCGGGAAGTGCAAACGGAGCGGAAAACCAAAAAAAGTACATCAAAACATCTCCCTTTGCACGCTCTCGCGAGTATAGGGAAGAAACAATAATAACAAAATATCGCATTTGCGGTGGAAAAGTGCTATCGGCAATTACCGTGTCTCTCTCTACTACCCTCGTTGATCGGTGTAATCTGCGGCTTAGGAGCCTCCGTTTTCTCAAACTCATCTCGAACTTCGCGAACGTGCGCGCGCGAGCGCAAAGAGATAGTTTTATAGTTTTTCGGTGGATTACTCTAATTAGTCGCGCGCCATTGATCGCCGGTCGATGATCGATGACTCTCACTTTGCAGCACAATCTGGCATGATTCCCTTCGCTTCGAATGATGGGGCCGTGAGGCTCTCTCCGCCTACCTGACTTACTGACTGACATCTAATCGTTCATTTTCGTTTTTTGATGGTTCAAAAAAAAAAAAAAAACGAACCTATAGGTGCATCGCGTCTGCTGCTTCGCCACCACAATGCTCACGAGATGGTTACTTCTGTTTCTTGCCACGGTCGCTGCAATAGCCACCTACGTGCATGCTTGGCGTCCGTGTCCGGAGTTGGATGCTGCGATCAAACTACCCTGCCGGTAAGTACTGCTGCTACTGCTAATTCATACCCATACTAATCCATATTTATGAGCGTAGTTACACATCAATTAATGCGCAAATTTTTTGGGCAGTGTGTTCGATTCGGTGTGCCAAAGCCCTTGAAATTTGAATGGTATTTTTTTTTTAGAGGTTGCAGCTCAGGCCATTGGGGTGAGTGGAAATTGGAGCTTGAGGCATGACGCGCTTTATGGAGGCATTTAACTACGGAGTCATTGAAACAATGTAGGATGGTCGGTTTTTTGTCATTGACCGTTCAATCAGGGGAACAGTCTCCGGATTTGAACACGGGTTTGTCGGTGGACAGTGTCTATAATTGGCAATTGACGGTGACGGACGAAAGAATGTGGGCCAATGAGGTATGCATTGCTTTTTTGTAGCAAACTCCTCAGCGTCTCAAAGTGGTCACTTCTTCTTCTACTTACATGGCTTTACGAGTTCCCAATGGGAACTATTACGTGTGCTCTTGTTGGCGTTATTTTCGGTATGTCTACCATCAACGCAGCAATTTGCTATTCGAAAATATTATTGTTTTGATAAAAGCTTCCATTGACGAATAGAACGCCAACTTGAAAACCGGCGATCAGAAAACATGATCAGAGTCAGTATGATTTCAAATAATTGGAATTAATCCAGAAGTTATAGGCTTAAAAATTTTCAACGTTGTCAATGAATTCAAGTCAGATACTGAACACTATGAAATAGTCCTTCACGCTATTTTGGAAAATGAAAACGCTTACTTTAATTGACAGCATCCTCAATCAAGTCTACTAGGTTCCTGTACATCTTGCACTGCTTGTAGCATTTATGCATTAGGCTGGTTCAAATTGTCCATTTTACCCCACGTAGCACAAACGATCATCTGCCTGAAAGTGGGAGCTTGTTTGGATGCCACCTGAAAATGAACTGGCTCTTTGAAGTTTCTACTGAAATTACTCTGTGAAAAGTGATTTTTTCGTTTGCCTTTACCCCTAGCCTTCGCCAGATTGCTTTTTGAGTAAACATTCTATCTGTTATGTTCTAACTTCCCAAGTAGCATTTCTTGTTTTATTGCACTCTATTAGTGGTTTTTGAGATCAATTTTATAAAACCGTCAATAAAATGAATAGCTCCAGCACAACCTTTTGATAACCGCTATAAGATCGTTATACAGCTTAGTGGGCCACTCTTGATAAGGTTTATAAAGCATGTTTGAGATTCACAATAAAACCTTTTTTTCAGAAAGCCCGATACTCTACAAAAGGTTCTCATAGCCTCTTTAAGAGTAATATTGTATTTGAGCAGTTTTATTACGCTTTGGTGAAAATCAGTTATAAATCCAATTCATTAATTATTGCTTCAAATCAACCGCCATAACTTAGCTTGTTGTTGTTCTGTTCTGCTGAAACTTTTTTTTTTTCATTTGGAAATCTTTAGCGGTAAAAATAGGTTTGAGTGTCAAGATCACCATGCAATCTATTTTGTTTCATGTCGATATTAGTGAAAATCTTAAAGAAAATTATATGACTTTTTAGAAGTTTCAAAACATATGCGCTTGAAATTTTATCGTGTACATTGGGATAATATGAGTGTTAAAAAAATGCGCTTCCAAAATAATTCAAGTTAACAGAAAAGATTGTTTCAGAAATCAAATTAATTTTACAGAAAATAGATCCCAATACATAAATTCATACCAATGCACACTGGAAATCATTTCTGATCTCTAATTTAGCCATTATTTTATTGATTTTTTTTTTTGGATTTTATTCCAAGGCTAATGGCATTTTCATAATAACAATATGGCGACAGAGGACAGCAGGCAAGAAAAACACCAAGCGCAATTTCTTAAAATGTCTAATGCTTACATTGTACACTGGGTCACGAATGCAACCTAGCGGAGCAAAATTAATAACTCCGAAACGAAGCATTTCCGCGACTTGGTGTCTTCGGTAAAATTTCTCATCATAATAAGGACCATCTATTGACATAAGCAAATAATTCAAAACTCTTCCGCAAAGATGGCGCTGCAACCTAACTTCTTCCTTTAACGTTTTGGAGACTTGAAGTCTTGGGCAAAGTTGTTTATCTTGACAAAACGAATAGCTCTTTCAAAGACGTTAAATTTTCACAGTCTACTGGTTCCAAGTTATATGAAGTTAAAGAAAAAAAATGTCGAAAATATGGTTTTTTCTTTCTGTTTCGGTTTTTTTGCTTTCTCTTATGCAAATGCATTACATAAATAGCTTTTGTGAAGAAACATACTGGATTAAGCTTGTTGAAAAAACGAAAAAAAAACACAATTTTTGAACTTTAATATCTCCTAAAGCGCAAAAAATCGCAACCTGACATTTTCAGCAAAAATTAAGCAATACTCGATAAAAAAATATATCAAAATTTAAGAGAGGGATATTTTGGTGTTTTATTTTTAGATTTCTCCATTTAAGTGGAACATGATATTTTTCTATAACTTTTTTCAATGCATTGAACTTGTGTTTTGAAGACTTCACGACTGTGGCAAAGTTGTTTATATTGATAAAATAAACAACTCTTCTTAAGACGTTGAAACTTCACAGCCTACTGTTTTCTACTACCGATGAATTTTACAAACATTTGGAAAAGTTTTGAATGGTACATTAACCTTTATGAAAAGTTATGCGTGATTTCAACTTTTTTGTCCTAGAACTGTCACCATTCCATGTATTTCGACCAAGATTCGACAGTGTCACCCCATGTATATGCGAGCGAGAATGGAAGAATTCCGGAGTGATTTGAGATTTGGGCGTAATTGCATTTGTAAACAAACACGTCAATCACCGATTTCTCGCGAATTAAAGCTCAATTTCGGAATCTCATAACGCTATTAGGTAGAGGAATGATTCCTCTATCATTTGGTATAGTCTGTTTGTAAGATTGAGCTTTAATTTAAGAGATATTGGCAATTGACGTCTTTGTTTACAAAAGCAATATCGCCCAAATCTCAAATCACTCTGGAATTATAGAGATTGCTGATGTTTTTCTTACGCACACTACGTCGCGTATACACGAAACGTTTTCATGCTCATGCTAACAATTTTTTTTTTTTCCCTTTATTATAGAGATTTTTAGCCATAGGCTAGTTCATCTCTTAAGTGCTAACAATTTTGTTGATATTCTTTGCGCTTCGCTTGGAAATACCGGAAAGTTTTGATTCTTTTCTATGTTGTAAAAATAAACCGCATATTTACACTTCTGACAAATTGCAACTGAATGCTTATAATTGTTTTAAAATAACTGTTTCATGGCCAACTAGTTTTATTGCGCTTACTTATATAGCAATATAAGGATTTATTTTTGGGTTTTATAGGGGCAATTCATATTGCTTTTTTATACTTCAAGGCAATCATAAAACCTTTCATAAGTGAAAATAGCATAAGCATCATTTGGTTTTTTTTATAAGCTTTATAGGGGTTTTGTAGATAGCTATAAAATGTTCCATGACTTGCATTGTATATGACCGTCATAAAGCTGTAGGTTGCAGCTGCAATAAAACCTTTATAAATTTTGAATATAGCCAAGCAGCTCTACATTTGTTACTTGGGTTGTCTGGGAACGAGATATGAACTGGTGACCTTTAGCGTGAGAGGCATGGATGCTCAGGGAGCTGCAACATCATGAATGAACTAGTAATATTTCAAACAAAGAGATATCAAGCTCCAGGAGTCCACTAAGGTCGATTTGTATGTATTTATGTATGTATGTATGTCCAGAGTGATTTGAGAATTGGGCGTAATTGCTTTTGTAAACAAACACGTCAATTACTGATTTCTCTTGAATAAAAGCTCAATCTCACAAACAAACTATACCAAATGATAGAGGAATCATTCCTCTACCTCATAGTGTTATTACTTTTTAAGATTGAGCTTTTATTCGCGAGAAATCGGTGATTGACGTGTTTGTTTACAAATGCAATTACGCCCAAATCTCAAATCACTCTGGATGAATGTATGTATGTATGTATGTATGTATGTATGTATGTATGTATGTATGTATGTATGTATGTATGTATGTATGTATGTATGTATGTATGTATGTATGTATGTATGTATGTATGTATGTATGTATGTATGTATGTATGTATGTATGTATGTATGTATGTATGTATGTATGTATGTATGTATGTATGTATGTATGTATGTATGTATGTATGTATGTATGCATGTATGTATGTATGTATGTATGTATGTATGTATGTATGTATGTATGTATGTATGTATGTATGTATGTATGTATGTATGTATGTATGTATGTATGTATGTATGTATGTATGTATGTATGTAAGTATGTATGTATGTATGTATGTATGTATGTATGTATGTATGTATGTATGTATGTATGTATGTATGTATGTATGTATGTATGTATGTATATACAATCCAACTTCCACTGTCCGGCAGTGTTTTTATAGAAGAAAAATGTTTGCAATATAATCTATTATTATGTTATACTGATCCCATTGCAAACAATTATAGCCCGGAAGTTGAAAGGTGATAGCTTTGTTGAGATTCAGTAACCCATTCCAGAATGCCTGGTCACTCACGTCCATCCTGAAGTTACTTTAACTTACAACAAGCCCCGCATACACGAAGTACCGATATAAAATGTATATTGTACACTTCCATCATCAAAGCAATTCCTGCTTTGTAGATGGCACGTATTTAGTAGGATGCATTCCATATTTTTACATCTAGTTGTAATCAGTTAGATCTCACCGCTTCTCGTTGAGTCCAGTTGAATAATCGGCATCTGTATTGGAATATTCGTCTCTCTCTTTCTCTATAACATTTTTCGATCTTTTTCGTATCTCTTCTTGAATATTGTAACCGTTATCAATTGAATTATGACAATGCCATCACTATCTATCCCGGTTATTGATCGGGGGGAAATTTTCTTCCGGAAGCGGAGGCGTAGCACCGAACACGCGAAAAGAAAAACCCACCGAAGCACAAACCAGCTAGCACCACGC